TACAACGTAACCTTCGAGAAGAAAATTAACTACAGTCATTGCTAATAATTGATGATGGTACTAAATGCAACGATAAATTCGAAATAAAGAGAAAATTACACGAAATATCACAAAACTACGTATAAATTATACTAAATAAAATTTTACTGCGAAAATCTGCAGAAGCATTTCACTTTCTTACTCTTGTAATTGGTCAATATACATTAAACAAATGTAAACAGATACTAACACAAAAATAATAAAATCAATATATATATATATATACTATATTTACAAGTATTGTATGTACATAAAAAATATATAATAATAAGCTACAATTATTATAGTGTAATTATATTATACACGGCATAGTTAATACATTATTACTATACTATCACACTACTACCCTATTAGTATACCTATTCTGCTGTTACTATACTATAATATTACTACACTATTAATATACCCACTATGGTATTACTATACTATCACACTACTACCCTATTAGTATACCTACTGTGCTGTTACTATACTATTAATATACCTATTATGGTGTCACTATACCATCGTATTATTACATTATTGGAATACCTACTGTGCTATTATTCTATTATAATATTACTACACTATTAGCCTACTTATTATAGTATTATGGTATTACGCTACTAGTATACTTATTATGGAATTACTATACTATCGTATTACTACATTATTGGAATACCTACTGTGCTATTATTCTATTATAATATTACTATACTATTAGCCTACTTATTATAGTATTACTATACTATCGTATTACTACGTTATTGGAATACCTAGTGTGCTTTACTATACTATTTTCATTCTTACTTTAGCACTATTATTCTATAGCATACCTTGACATACCTACTCGCTACAGAATACAACAATATTAACAAAATTACTATACACGAATTTTGCGGCAATTACCATTACTTCTTCACTAATAAAAGATGGCGATTGTTACGCACGATCGACACAGATAGCGCAAGTTTCGCATGCTCGCGAAGCATCATGGCGCACGAGAGGTCAAAGATCACAATACGAAAGCAACAACTGCCTTTCCTATCAGCTGGACAGAGAATCTCCAATAAACAGCAGTCAGTAACCACCAAGACTCTGACTGTCTTGTTCTTTCGCTCCCGTTTCTCGTTCCCAGTGAACACTTCATCGAATTTACCCTTCTCTATCCATTGTGCTCTCTGTCTTAGTAAATGAAACAGTTAAAACAATGTCTGTTTTTCGGTGAAAATCGCAGGAAACTGTTCCATAAGCGTTTTAATTTACTTCCTCGTTCCTCTTTGAAAGAAATAAGAGGCACAATTAAACGAAGCACACGATAGCCTCCATATTGATACCTTTTTGGAGAGACAGGTGTCATCCAGGTGATCAAAGGAGTCGTGACCAGGAGTCAAGGGTTTGTTCAGCTGCGTTCATTCTAAAGTCTCGAAACTTAATTCCTGAACTCTCGAAACTTCGAAATTCCAATCCGAATCTAAGAACACTTGATAGTTGAAGTCTTCGTTTTATTTTTCTATAGTTCATCTCTGAAGCTTAGGATACTACTCTTCACTTTGAAGAATTTCGAATCACACAGAGAGTGCAAGATTTAAACCTTCTTAAGCTTCGTGAAATTGCGAAGATTTTGATAAAGCTGATCTCTAGTTTCTTCTTCGAAGAGGAGTTTATACAGGAAGCATGCAGATCAGGAGTAAGAGGGCCATTGTGACGGGAGCTGCCAGTGACTTGGGTCTGAGCATTGGCAGAGAACTGTTGCGAAATGGTGCAGCTGTAAGTAGAAAAATTGAAGGCAAAATGAGAAGGAAAATGTAATAAGTGTCTTATTGTTAGTCGTTCTTACGTATGATCATGGGGAAAAATGATTTCAGGTCGTCGCGATGATAGATATCCGGGAGACAGCTGGCCAAAACGCTGTGGACACTCTGAACGCGGAATTCGGTCGCAATCGTGCTGTCTTCTTTCACTGTGATGTTGCAAATAATTCTCTATTTGATGGTAATCGTTTTGTACTTCCTTTATTTTGTAATAATTTTGTCCCACTTCTATTTTATCTAACGATTTAGTCATTTATACAATTTTATAATTTTGTTGAAATTATTTTTGTAATTATTCCTAACTTTCTATCGAAATTATCTTCTAATTAGTACTAGTACTAATAATAAATTAGTAATAATTTATTGTTGAAATTATTTTCTAATTATTACTAATTTATTGTCGAAACTATCTTCTAATAATTTATTTACAATTAGGATTATCGTTGAGATGATTATATAATTATTGCTAATTTATCTAGAATTGTCATTGTCATTGAATTACCATAAATAAATTTGGAAAACACGGTGGGGAAGAAAATAAAATTAATTTTGAAGAATTAGTTTCATATTAATTTTGCTACTAATTTTCTGCAGTTTAAATATATAAAATACTCCTACTATTCAATTGCTCTTATAATTTAGATAAATTACTATAATTTCCTTTTGGTTTTGTCTTTAGGAGATATTTCCGAGATTGAGATTAATTTCAATAAATTTTATATGGATTACGTAAATCAATCCTATGCTATCTGATTTCTGTAACAGATACGTTCAAGAAAGCCGTGAAGACACTCGGTGGTCTGGAGATCCTAGTGAACAACGCTGGCATAATCGATGAGAATAATTTCACGAAGACTATTGACGTAAACGTGGTAAGCAAGAGTATTTCCCTGAATGCAATCGAGAACTTAGGGTCATAGGTCTAGGCGATAGATCTTAAATCACGACATCCAATTGCTTTTCGAATTGTACTTTCATCACGAACCATAGACGAGCATAATTCATCTCTTCCCATAGTCACTATGCATTCAGTGGTGAATTTAAGACTCGAGACCACGAGTGATAATAAAAATTTATGAAAAATTAATTAAAATTATATAATCTACAGGATTTATCAAAAATGTTTATAAAATATGATATTACAGTGCATAATTAATCAATTTGGATAGAACTCTAAAAATTTACAATATTTCGGACTTTTGGAAGCCCAAATTTGCCACTGAATTCATTATCGAACCTAAATCTTGACAGAGCCTATAAGAAACGTAACTTCTGTCACACCACGTGACTTTGAAATTACACACTGTTGTTATCTACATCTCTACGTATCTTATTTACTTAGCTCTGCACTACTGTGTGCTTTAACTACGTCATTATACCAGTGTCGAATTATCTACCTGCAGCAAACATTAAATTTTACATTTTAAATCAAACAAACAATATCTAATCACTTATAATAATGTTCTTAATTTAAGTACAATTAATTTGTCATAATATTGATGTCAGATATTAGATATTATAGATATAATAATTATATCTGTGACACCTTGTATATATCACACAATTACTGCAGACACTAGATAATTATTACAATCTAAGCCACACTACATATTCTGCAACTACTATATACCAGAGATATAATTATTATACTCTAAGACACTCTGTATATCCTATATGTAATTACTATATACAATAATTATTATAGATACATTTATCACGCTCTAAGACATCCTACATATTCTGCAATTACCATGTGCAACAGACATTACAGACAAATTATTATACCCTGCAGCAAACATTGAATTTCACATTTTAAATCAAAGAAACAATATCTAATCACTTGTAATAATGTTCTTAATTTAAGTACAATTAATTTGTCATAATATTGACGTCAGATATTAGATATTATAGATATAATAATTATATCTGTGACACCATGTATATATCATATAATTACTGCAGACACTGGATAATTATTACAGTCTAAGACATTCTACTCATTCTATAATTACTATACGCAAGAGATATAATTATTATACTCTAAGACACTCTGTATATCCTATAATTACTATATACAATAATTATTATAGATATAATTATCACACTCTGAGACACCCTACATATTCTGCAATTGCCACGTGCAACAGACATTGCAGACAGATTATTATACCCTGCAGCACCCTGTATATTTTATAATTACTATAGGCACTGGGTATTATAGGCATAATTATACCCCAAGGTACCTCGCGTATTCTATAATTACTATAATCACTAGACATTGCAGGTACAATTATTATACCCCGAGATACTACTCCGTGTACATTTACAATTGCTCGCACAGCCTCCTGGCACAGATTTCTTCCACCTGGACAGAATGAGAAAATATCATCCGAACGTTCGCGGTTTATCATTGCAATTGCTTAATAAAAATCGATTTGCACAGACCTCGGTGATACGCGGAACGCTTCTAGGAATCCAACAAATGCAAAAGGACTCCGGTGGCAAAGGGGGTGTTATCGTGAACGTATCGTCTGTAGCTGGCCTCTACTCCTTATCTCAGCTTCCAGTGTACTCCGCCACGAAGCATGCTGTGGTTAGCTTCAGTCGATCCTTTGCGGTGAGTTCTGCTTCATCGAAGATCATCCAGGTGTTCTCAACACCCTGTGACCTGAAACGAGAATAATATATTTTAATAAAACTATATTAATCTCGATGGGATAATACGAGGGATGGGTTCGTCGAAAAATCGAAATCAAAAACTTAAGTCCCTAAATAACATATATACAGGGTGTCCCAAAAAAATGTATGCACACTTTGCGTGATTATAAAAACAGTATATATTTTACTGTTTAATTAAACCGTCTTTGCATTTCCAGTATGTTTTCACACTTATGGTAATACTTTAACTAGAGAGGCGCCTCTCAGCCGCCATTTAATCAAATTCTAAAGATGGATGTTAATTAATATATCAAATTTACAATTACCCAACGATGAGTGGAATATCGAAGTAAAATAATTCTACGTCTTGATTTGCATACTTAATTTCTTATTTACCGTTTTAAAAATATCGTCAACTTTCAAATTACTATTTTCCTGTAACGAAAAATTTACGTTTTTCAAAGTCTAGTCTTGTTTTATTTTAATTTAATTATTTTTTAATGGGCTGTACCTAGAAAAGAAAAAATAAATTAGAAAGAATAAGGTATTAAAGTGTGTATACGTCCTTTTGGGACACCCTGTATATACATATACAAATGGAATTCCTGAATTTTGATTAACACTTTGATTCTCGTGCACAGCAACCTTACCATTACGAGAGGACTGGAGTGAGGATAATCGTCATGTGTCCGGAAATTTCTGAAAATTTCAAAAATATGGACGATAAGTTATATATGATAGACAAATACATTAGAAGGTAAATTCCTTTCATTTCTATATACAAATATTAATATTATTATTTATTTGTTTATCTCGTACCTTCCGGTTGCCCACTACACTTTGTACATTTCCATTTAACTTCTAATCTTATCTGATCTTATGAGTTTTTAACCACTCGAGCTGCCAAGAAGTTCACAGTGACGCGTGTGCCAGAATGGTCCAGTGTTTCTGTGACAATTGCCTAACGACATGTGTACCACGTCGTTGGCGATTCTGCGCAAAAGCATTATGACGTGTGTGGCACGTCTTTCCAGCGCAAGTGGTTAAACTAAATTCCAGTCTTTTATTTAACCCCTTGGCTACTGTGGGTACATATACGCGCTCAGAAATTTTGCTTTTGTGACACGGAAGGCGCATATAAGCGCTGAACGCAGTTTGCTTTTCTGACACGGAGGGCACATATAAGCGTTCAGCACAGTTTGCTTTTCTGACACGGAGGGCGCATCTGTGCCCAAAATTTTGCCGTTCTCGGTGGACATTGTAAATGAATTCCTACCCGCGTAGTAGGTTTCAAAGTCTGTAGTAGTCAAAGGGTTAAGCTTAACCACTTTTAACTACGATTTAACTTTCGGTTGCCGTGCATGTAACATGCGATAAGGCGTTACATTGACGTGGTATACACGTCGCTGGCGGCTTTGGAACAAAAGCATCTCGACGTGCGTGGCACGTCTTTATAACGCAAGTGGTTAACCCTTTCGGCACTACTGCCGCCCAATGGCGGCGGCCATGAAACGTTCTCTGGGTACTACCGTCGCCTATTGGCGGCATCCACGAAACGTCACCGATGACTGTCGCTGTCCAAATGAAAAGTTTAGTGTCAATCACGCTCGAAATTTCTATGAATACCGCAAAACACGTTTTCGTGGTTTTTGACATTTTTCAGTGTCACCACTCTTGTGAAAAACTGCCTCGTACCACGAATGTATAACCGCGGCCAGCTCCTCCATACCGAAAGGGTTAACCCTTTCCTAACCTAAATGTCCTGCTGCAATCTTTATTGCACTTTTCTTTGGCATCTGTTTTAATTGTCAGTCACTCTGTTTCCTATTGTTCTTCTTCTCTTTCTTTTCCGTTTTCCCATTCCTTCCTTCATCTCCTCTTTATATAAATATTATAGTATATTTTTACATATGTATGTCATTTTTACACGTGTGCATGTGCTATTTTTCACATAATCTCGACAGTATCCTTGTGGGATTAATTTTCTTAATTTTCTGCATTCGTGTGTGATTTATTAACGTTGTTATTATTATTGCCAACGTTGTGAGCGCCATTATTGTGTTTTATCAGAATCGACAGCATGGCGCACGGTTTAATTTACGTCATCAGATGCGCGCAGAACGGAAGCATCTGGATCAGCGAGGACGGGAACCCTGTGTACGAGATACAATTGTTCGACAGTCTGCCACAAAAGTTCGATGACTCCGTACTAGACGATGCTGAACGTAAAGTGGAAATAAATTAAATTTCTACGAACAGAGTTTTGTAAATAGAGATTATTATGAGATTATTAATGTATTATATATATACAACGTATGTATTATTAATGTAACTCACGATACTTTTTATATTTGCATCATTTCCGGTATACTGCTTCGACGATAATAAAATTCGTATTTGTAATCCACACGATAATTATTTCTTGTGTACCTGAACAGGAAAATATGAACGAATGAAATGAAAATGAAGAGGACACTTGTCATAGTATTGATACGCGATATAAATCGAGTATTTACTAATAATATACGATTATTAGCAGTTATTATTATTAAATATGACAATTGTACTGAATTATTTAATAATGTTTAATAATTGAATCTGTGACGACCATCATTCTCACTCTCGTCACTAGATGGATACCAAATTCGAGGAGCTTCGAGGACTTTCTCGCAAGTCCTATCAAGACCCCTACAGAATTATTAAATAGACAAACTTTCAATAAACAAACGGAACAAAAGATAATATAAAAATTAGAAAGTATAATTATTCCATTCTTCGCTCTCCGAAATTCAACGATAAATCAAAGAACGTCGACGTGGAGGAACAATCTTTCATCGAATAATTAAAACGGAAGGAAAATAATTAATTTTGCCTTTAACCCTCTGCACTCGACGATTTTTTGGCTGAAGAGTTGAGAAATTTTCTACTATAAGGCTGATGATATTTTTCTAACAATAAGTAAGAAATCGTATAATAATTAACAGGTAGAATTATTTAATTTCGATACCTCGCACACTGTTACATTATCTTAAATTTGATATATTAATTAACATCGAGCTTCGAAATTTGATCAAATGGCGACTGAAGGACGCCTCTCGAGTGCAAAGGGTTAAATATATTATATTATATATATATTATTACTGTCATTAATTTTGTACCTTAGAAATTCTATCCATATCCATTAATTGATATTAATAATAACGAATTAAATGCATATATCGTACAACGAACTAATATATTAACACGCACACACACATTCGAGCTTGTTTATCCATTCAAAGGGGAATTTAATTTATTCGCCAGGATGAAATTTCTCAGAGGAGACTAGGCTCATAAAACCCGCCTGCCTAACCGGTTAAGAGACCATCTCCTAAATGCAGATAAGAGAACATCTATTAAACGCAAGTAATTACACTCGATACAACTATCAACCTCCCTGTATGTCATCGCAGGAACGTCGAAGATAAGCCAACGTCCCGAAGGCGAAAAAGTTCATGCAAGATGAGCGTCCACTTTCGCGTTATCGCCGGATATAAGTAACGTGGCAGCACAACAAATAACGGGTATCTCAAATACTCTACTTAAATGCGAGCTTAATGTCTAATCAGTAGCGATATACAGAAGAGTAACATCATTGGTCGAAAACGCGAAGCTCAAAAGGGTTTTACCACTTGCGAAATTGGTCCATCGTTAAAGAAACTTTTGCATGGAAGATTATGAAAATGTTCCAACAGAAGCTATATATTATAGTTTTGCAATTACTATCTAATTATAATAACTTATACGTATGAATATATCATAATAATATTTCCCCACTTTTATAATTGCAATTATAATTGTAATATAATTTCCAATTTTTATAGTAAAATATTTTGTTCATTTAATATGCTATTAACAAATCTTGTATTATTTATAACGTTATTTCCTTATTTTCATTGAGCACCACTAATGGGAAAATACAATTAGTCATTGAGATATTCAAATGTACATACATACTCTTCTATTACTAGCTTAAGTATAATACTCTGTTATAAATTTCAACTACAATTAATTCTAATACATAAATATTAGGCTACATTTGAGTACAATAATCAAATTTTCTTATAGCCAACTATTCAACTTTTAAATATCCTAAAACTATCAATATCCTATTTTTTAAATTCCACTAGTCTCCTTTACAATTTTTCTCATTTTTCTCATATTTCACACATTTCAAAGTTCATGGAAGACTTGGTACACGAAATTAGAATTCATTTGCAGCGTTAATTCGAAGAGAAAAGGGTACATAAATCAAAGTCAAGTACTCGAGGACCCATGGTGATTCTCTCTTTGTGGGAGTGAAAGAATGTTTTTGGGCTGGTCGCAGCATAGTGTTATCAAGGACCACTGGAGACTCGATTACTCTGAAGACTATAAATCACTTGAACTTTGATTCGAATCTTTTATCGAATACGAAAAAAAGGAGATGGCCCCGTTTCTTTTTACATTTTTCTCATGTGAAACACGTAGGTGTGTACCCTTATGCATAATCTGTACTTAAATTAGCGCGGTTACAGGGTTCGACAAGGAACGGTACTTCGCATAGACAATTGATCGCAAAACGACAATCAGTACATGCACAAAGCTTTGTAATCAGGTCGAGCGAACGATAACCCGTCAACATCCCGTTTAACATCTACTGAGACTTCGACGGGACTTCAAAATGGCGGGGAAAGTAATCGTCGCGTCGAAATGCGCCTCTATCGTTGCAGATTGTCTGGATAATTTTACAAACTGGCCTCGAGAAATATTTCTCGGTACAAAAATTTACAAAAATTCGATTGCATACATCTATCGTGAATAACGAGACTTTTATAAAATTTCAAAAGGCCATTTTGTAATTTTTATCTTTACTAAGTGGATCTTATACCTTTTGTGATATTAAAAATTCTAACGAATGCAACACAATTGTAAATATATGTACAGTTGTTTAAATATCGAAGAATAAGATAGTCGTGAGAAGTAATGGAAGTTCGTTTACAGACATTATCATTTTAGAAATAAGAAAATGCTCTTCGTTGCCCTAGAACGATAAGCTTGAAAAATACGCACGAAGAACATTGTCCTTTGCTTCATTTCTCGTAATCAATTGCTTATTTCACGAGATGAAATAAGGGACTCGTTTTTATCTAAATTTAGTCGCTTTCGAAAACATTTGTAATCAATATTGGTAAAATTGAATGCCATTTTTGATCGCTCGTTGTCTCGTTTATGTACGAACAATTAAACGTTATTAAACAATTAAATATAGTATTATAATTATCTCCACGCACATTGTGGACACGTGCAATAGAAGTCGATAAAAATTGTCAGTACTTCAAACCATTATAATTATCCCCTTCCCTCTGTCTTTCTTTCGCAACTGCAGTTCCTATCGGGTATTCCTACTTCAAAAAATTCACTTCCAATCGTAATGCTACCATTTCTTAAATCTAAAATCTTCAGAAGTCGCAAATGATACCGCCCAAAAGAATAATCATTGTTATCGCTCGTTTCTCAAACAGTTTCAATAAATTACGTGATCATTTTAAAGTGACGCTATCACACAATTACGTATTAATCATACAATTACGAATCTGCAATAGACGATTGCAGAAGTGTACGGTATTTTGCAATTTCTTTACTGACTTGTCGAATATTACAAGAAAAGAAGAAGAAATAATAGAATAAAAAAATTAATTTGAAGAAGTGGAGAGAGTAGGGGGCCCAAGATAAGAGGATAAAGCAGAAAAGAAAAAGGAGAAAGGAAATTCAAAGCAAAGAAAGCAAAGAAAAGTAGAAGAGAAAGTAAACCACAAAAGAGAGAGGGTAAAAGTAAACCAAAAGGAAAGAAAGGGAAAGAAAAATAAAAAGACAAAGAAAAATGGAATAAAAAAAAAAGAATACAACAGAAAAAATTCGAAAAATAGAGGTGATATAAAAATAAAAGAAAAAGAGAAAGAGAGGAAAAATAGGAAGAAAAAGAAAATCACGCTCGAGTCGATTCGAGATTCGTCGGAGTAAAGTTCACAGTGAACCGATTCGTACCGGATCAGCGATGCGCCTTTTAAAACGCGTGGATTCGCCGCGATTTATCTCGAGCTCGCCGAGACGAACACATTAAATGCATTTTTTCCCCGATAACAGGCCGCGAAGCACGAGCTGCGCGTACGTCTACTCTTTATCGCAGCTGCGCGCCACACGACACTGCGTAAACTATATTTTTCAAGACTATTTATTCGCGATTACATCCGACGAATGAACGACTCGGGGTTTTGCAAAAGAGAAAAGCACAAGAACAAAGGATAAAAGGAGCGCGATAAAAGATCGGCAGAGGTTGTGAGATCGGGAATATTATCCAATCTCACTTCGGCCTGCGATCGTATTTTTACAGAATTTATACACTTTTCCTTGCCCTCTCTCTTTAATGCAAAAACGAATAAAAACCAAAGGTTCGCTGGAATCGCTGGCAAGTCGATCTTGCTATCTCAGCCTGACAAAAAATACCGACGAATGACGTATTCGTATGAGATTTCTTCTAATCGTCCCCTTCGCGTACTTCGTCAAAGTTCATCGAAGATGAGTCAAGGAAAGTGGATGGACGCCTTGATCCTCGTTTCCTGTCCACGCTGTAATCCGTGGGAATTACGGATAGTTCTCGAGGAGAGAATAGGTCGCAGAATTTTTATCGCGAGGTCGTTGCACCGTGGTCGCACTTACAGGACAAGATCACGTAACGTCGTTGGGTAATCGAGCAACTATGTCCCACGTTCAGCAATCTCATCGACAAACCTCGACTAGCTGTGAAATATTAATTTCAACGATACATTTGCAAGATTCGACGAAAAGGAAAAGAAACGAAAAATATAGATACAGTATTAATTAATTCCTCTAAATTAATATCCTTCTTAAGTCATTCTATCTTTTTAACACTAGAAAGACTATTCTTTGCTTATTTACTACAAAGGAATGCATTAATGTTGTAAATGTGAATTCAAATGGAGATAGATGTAAACAATGTTTGCTTCAATAAAAGAAATAGAATCAGTAATGTAAGAAGTACCAAAAGAACCAAGATGGACGTGCATGTATACTAATTTGATAACGTGCAACAAATTTCATTGAAAATTCACCCTTAAGCAGAATTCTATTAGCATATCAACGACCAATAATGCACACCTGAGTGTAATTAAAACTGCGCAAGTAGAACCGAATAAATCATGCGTTTATCGATGAAAAAATTCGAAAAATAGAGGTGATATAAAAATAAAAGAAAAAGAGAAAGAGAGGAAAAATAGGAAGAAAAAGAAAATCACGCTCGAGTCGATTCGAGATTCGTCGGAGTAAAGTTCACAGTGAACCGATTCGTACCGGATCAGCGATGCGCCTTTTAAAACGCGTGGATTCGCCGCGATTTATCTCGAGCTCGCCGAGACGAACACATTAAATGCATTTTTTCCCCGATAACAGGCCGCGAAGCACGAGCTGCGCGTACGTCTACTCTTTATCGCAGCTGCGCGCCACACGACACTGCGTAAACTATATTTTTCAAGACTATTTATTCGCGATTACATCCGACGAATGAACGACTCGGGGTTTTGCAAAAGAGAAAAGCACAAGAACAAAGGATAAAAGGAGCGCGATAAAAGATCGGCAGAGGTTGTGAGATCGGGAATATTATCCAATCTCACTTCGGCCTGCGATCGTATTTTTACAGAATTTATACACTTTTCCTTGCCCTCTCTCTTTAATGCAAAAACGAATAAAAACCAAAGGTTCGCTGGAATCGCTGGCAAGTCGATCTTGCTATCTCAGCCTGACAAAAAATACCGACGAATGACGTATTCGTATGAGATTTCTTCTAATCGTCCCCTTCGCGTACTTCGTCAAAGTTCATCGAAGATGAGTCAAGGAAAGTGGATGGACGCCTTGATCCTCGTTTCCTGTCCACGCTGTAATCCGTGGGAATTACGGATAGTTCTCGAGGAGAGAATAGGTCGCAGAATTTTTATCGCGAGGTCGTTGCACCGTGGTCGCACTTACAGGACAAGATCACGTAACGTCGTTGGGTAATCGAGCAACTATGTCCCACGTTCAGCAATCTCATCGACAAACCTCGACTAGCTGTGAAATATTAATTTCAACGATACATTTGCAAGATTCGACGAAAAGGAAAAGAAACGAAAAATATAGATACAGTATTAATTAATTCCTCTAAATTAATATCCTTCTTAAGTCATTCTATCTTTTTAACACTAGAAAGACTATTCTTTGCTTATTTACTACAAAGGAATGCATTAATGTTGTAAATGTGAATTCAAATGGAGATAGATGTAAACAATGTTTGCTTCAATAAAAGAAATAGAATCAGTAATGTAAGAAGTACCAAAAGAACCAAGATGGACGTGCATGTATACTAATTTGATAACGTGCAACAAATTTCATTGAAAATTCACCCTTAAGCAGAATTCTATTAGCATATCAACGACCAATAATGCACACCTGAGTGTAATTAAAACTGCGCAAGTAGAACCGAATAAATCATGCGTTTATCGATGAACTGTCGACATCGAAGTAGGGTTTAATTGCGTTTATCGCGAAGGCAGGCGTCGCGTTGAAATTTCTTTCGAGTAAGCGGTAAACGCGAGATACGTGGCCGCGAACTGAATTAATTAGTTTCGACGGGAAGGGTTAATTAGAGACGCTATCGACCGCTGTATCCATCGTCCATCGAGAAAACGAGGCGAGGAGAGAAGCGGCTCGTCCGCTTTATCCACCTATCCACGAGGCTCTTCGCACGATAAAAATCCAAGACGCGTCGCGTTTATATCATGCCATTCGTAGAAATGACAGCTTCTCGCGCATATAAATACGATTGGCAACGACCAATCTAGCTTCAGTACGTCGAAACACGTTGACCCCGTCTTGTGCCCTCTAACACTGGTGAACGCTGCCTCGTGTGTCAAATTCTGTCGCAACCTCCTTTGAAGAGAAATGGGTACGTTTAAGCGTACTGCTAGAATGGAGAAATGAAATAAACATGTAGTACACCGGTTCAGATTATCATCTTTATCATTTGATTAATAAATTGTAAAAAAGAAAAACCTGCAGTTTCGCACAGAGATTTTCATCTGAGCAATTTATCCGAATAAATAAACGAACTGAATTCTTCGCAGTGGAAGATGCATATTTTCTATCTGCAACAAAAGAAGAAAGAATTATTAAATAGAAAATAAGAGCCGAGTTATCGTGCGGTCAAATATCATCGAGATAATTTGGTCAAGCGATACTTTGAAATATCTACGAAAGCTATTAATCATCCGTGGATGTAAACTAACGTGTTGGATGTCTCGTAAATTTTATAGAGAACGAAAGCAGCAAACGCAGACGGTCTTCCGCGTCCGAGAAAGCGAAGGAGATGGAAACGATAAACGGTCTTGTATCCGGAAAGAACGTGCTCATTACTGGCGGTGCAGCAGGCTTGGGCCACGCGTTTATGAATCACTTCCTGAAACATGGTGCAAACGTAAGTTCTCCCTTTCATCTTTTTCTTTTTGTGAATCGATCTCAAGAATATCGTCAAACTAGTACCTGGTATTTTATCCACTTTAGTCGAATCCTTCCTTTTTTAGAAAATAACCATATTAGACGTCGACGCGGGAACCGGGAAACGGGTGGAACTGAGCGTAGAGAAATCCTGCGGGGAGAAAAAGGTACACTTTATTCACGTCGATGTCTCCAATTACGAAGACATGACCGGTGAGCATCGAATCACATCACGAAAAGCACTTGAGTAGATAACACGTTGATAAGTTTGTATGAATTTCTAAAATGCTGAACCCCTTTGATTAGTAACTGATAACGACGAAGACGTTGACTGGACCACCTTGATCTAGAAACATAAATATTTTGATTGAAAAATCGAAGCGTTTATGGAGTATAAAATATTAAGACTTAATTTAATTTACCTGTTCTATTTGTTTCTATTCCTCGAGTAGACTGTATTTCATTTTATGTTACAGCGGCTTTTAAGGAAGCCTCAAATTTGATGAACGATATCGATATTGTGGTAAATAATGCTGGTATTCTGGACGAACGACGTTGGGAAAGAGAAATAGCAGTTAACATTGTAAGTCATGAGAAAATCATTTTATTTTACTTCTTATTTTATTTCTACGTTTAAATGAAAAATCCTTTCTATTACTATAATTGATATGCCAGGGTGGGATGGTATGTACCGCGTTACTGGCTGTAAAATACTTGGGCAGAGACCAACTCGGACATGGAGGAACTTTGGTAAACGTCAGTCAACACATAGACATCAAAAGCACCGCTCAACTTCCGGTTTACACGGCCACCAAGCATGCTATTATTGGTCTCTCGCAATCTCTTGCGGTAAGATATTTATTGTCATAAATTATATCGAAATGAATAAGCTAATTAAATAAATCTTCGTTGATATCCTGTCACGAAGTCGATATGTCACAATGTGTTATTTGCTTCCTCCTCTTCGGATATTACGATCAATCTACAAAACGAACATTTTGTTAAAAATAAAATATAATAAAAAAATAAACATAAATTCAATTCAGGACTCTTACCAGTATGAAAAGACCGGTATTCGTGTGATAACGTTGTGTCCTGGCCTGACGGAAACTACGCTCACCGTGGACAGCCCAAATAAGTTACTTTCCCGAGTTATGAAAGCGGACTTTGTAAAAAATCTGGAACAGCTATCAATACAAACGTGAGTTACTATTTTCAGCGACAATTTCAACTTAAAAACTAAAAAAAAAAAAAAAATCAATCTTAATTACATTTTTTTCTTTATAGCCCGTACGTGGTAGCTCAGGGTTTAATGTCGATCCTCAGGATTGGAGAATCTGGTAGCATATGGGTCATTGAAAATGGACGGACACCATACGAAGTCTATGTACCAAATCCACGTAGTTTACGTCGAACTTATAAGAACAACTTTACAGTGGTTGAAACCAAGGTAGTGACAAGAGGTCGTCCGATAAGAGAAGTCTGTGACAATACACGAACAGGTCTGATGAGTTGTGCATGATGACGTGACAGCAAGATATCTTCGGCCACGATGATCTTCCACGTTCTCCAAGAAGCTTTGAAGATTGGAATCGCTAGTTTTCTGTCGCATGGTTTAAAACAATTCCTGCACGGTAATCTGTGCAGGAATTACGAATGGAAAGTTGTCAAGAAGTGACGAAAATGATCAAATTAAATCCTTCTCAATCACTGGAAGGTAATTGAGAAAGGTTCAAGTTATAATCGCTTGATATTTGTTAGTCATTGATACAATGTAAAGTATTTATAAAGATAATGCACATGTATACACATACTTTGTACATAAATCAACGCCATTGCATTTAACAATTCCTTAAGTAGTAGTTAAGTTGTTGACAATAATGATATGATCTGTTTTCTTATATGATCAAATCTCTTTTTATTTCTTAAACCTCTGCTCAATAATGTCAATTTACAAATATTCTTTCTTCCTTGCCAAGCATTCATACGAAAAAACGCAACTATAATTCACAAATATTTCCCGAATAAATGTTCCCTATAGTAATTGGTAGGCTTAAAAAATACAACAAACATTATTTTATTACATCAATATTATTCAGCATTGGGAATCACAATATCCGTTGTACAAAACAAAAATTCATTATCGGAAAACCACATATACCGTGCATTTCTTTACACGCGTAATGCATAAAACTTAAAAGTTATATTTCTTCTTTCCCCATATTCCTCCCTATTTTACTTATCTTTATTCATACATGCTTTATTCCTTTTTTTTTTTTTTTTTTTTTTTTTTTTTTTTTTTTTTTTTCCATTTACTGATAGCTTATGGAGGTTTTCGATTTATATGTAAGTAAATCTCATGTTATGTGTGTATATATGTGTATACGCTTGGGTTACCATACGAGCCACAAGAAAATAACAGTCGCAAATAATATACTTATTCTGCCTTTCTTCTTTGCGTCTTATATTTTTAAGGACACAATCATGCTTTTAGAGTCTTACTCTCGAAACGCTATCCGCGATCAGCGCACAGCATTCTCGTACATCAAACGATTTCTTCGAAATTCGAAGTTATTAAACGCAGTCGACGGCATTCACACTTTCATTTTCTCTCTTTCACAAGCCTACCACGTTCAATATTTCAAAAAGTAATAGTCAATACAATCGATGTACGATTCGGCTTCGCTTGCGCACGCGTATTTCTATGAATCATACAAAATCAATCTTTTCTTTTTTTTTTGTGTTTTTTTTTGTTTTTTTTTTTTATATAAGGAACAATTCAACGTTCCTGTTCAAAAATCAAAACCCCCTGGTAAATACGTGAGTAAAATAATTATCTGAGCTTAATTCGCATACACGGTCATCATAAATAAATAAAGTTTTGACTGTTCCAAATAACCATAACATATTGTCCTACTCTACTCTGCGATTGTACGCATGTTCCATTATTCCCATTTTTTCCAATTATTCTTTGTTACATTTTTACCCGCATAAAGCTGTAAAGAATAATTACTGCTTCGTGTGTTTCACTTTAACAAAATCACAACACATGCAACGAGAAAAATTAATTAGTCATTTTCTTTCTTTATCATTTTTCTTTGAAATAGTATCGTGCTATTCTCATACACTGTGTTACAAAATTTTTTTTGAGATTCTCATTGTTCACATAATCATAGTTGCATGCTTGTCGAGTTAATAGTGTTCAAAAAAAAAGCGTAACTGAAAATTTAAAATTTGTTGCTTCATATGCAAATATTTTACCGTCCGGCGTGTACTGTACTTGATTACGTTCAGAAGCATTCGACGATTCCTTAATTTGTAGGACATGATGGTTTTGAATACCGAGTTTTTGAAAATTAATTACTTATAACAATAAGATTCATATTTATTTGTCCAGAAAATCTAAACGCAGGATTTGCAAAGCACTGATTAATTTCCTACGTTTCTGCATGACGATACAAAAAACTCACGATAAAGTTCTCTCAAAGAACTTTTCCTCTTTTTGTTTCTTTCCTTTTATTTTTTTTTTTTTTTTTTTTAGGCAGAGCACGTATCATAAAATCTTAATCTAAAGTGAATACTTATATATATATATATGTATATATATATAGTAGTGCGTTGTTCGTTCAAAAAGGTACAACGCGACTATTCTGCTGCGATTGAGTAGCAGATTGTTCGTTGGTCGTGCGATTTTGACTGCCAGTATTATTTTGTTGTTGTTGGTTAGCAGGTTTACGGTTTCCACCTCTGGAACCTCTATAACCACCTCGAAAACCAGAACCACCTGCACCACCGGCACCAGCACCACCTCGATACATGCCGCCCATCCCACGATTATAGTAACCGCGTCCACGAAAACCACCACGTCTCGTTGACGCTACACCAAACGTTTCAGAGTTCAATTTGCGCTCTGTCCTCCAGTCCGTACGTTGGAACCGTCTGTAACACACACACGCACACGCACACACACACAAAAACACAAAAACATTATATATACAATTTTTCATATATATTTCAATTATTATTATAAAATCGTAAATTCGTTAACTTACCCTTTACTCCTTTCAACAGCTTCACAGCTGATGTTGTCGAAGAAAGATTTTGACTTGTCATAATGAACTATCTCAGATTCTTCCTCGGGCTCACCTTCACCTGCTCCAGTTTCATTGCCACTATCATCCTTCTTTTCATTATCAGCACCAGAATCAATTTTTGTTTTTGCTAACTGAGATCTAAAATATATAATCCGAAGAATTAATCATAATACATTTTTAAGTAATTGTCAGGTGTATAAGATTATATTATAAATAGTACAATTGTTGGTGCGTAGCGTAAGCAAAACATATATGACATGTATATGTGTTACTTTAAAAACGCATAACGTTGATCTTGCATGGTATCCACATTCAACATTTCAAATGTATGTTTGAAATGAATCCGGCACAGCTCCATGCTCTATATCTACATACATACAAAGTTCGTACCTTAATTCTTCGAACTCAGTATTAGCTTGTTCAAAGTCATAGTCGTTATCGAACTTCAACGTATTCTTGGGTTTGGCACCAGCGTTACCAGGTTGATTTCTAAAACCACCACGACCTCTTCCTCTACCCCGCATATTTCCACGATTCAACCATACACCACGATTTCCTCGGCCACCTTGGATATGTGTGCCTTGACCATGTAGTTGACCATCTTGTTTCATTGCATCACGTTTTCCTTCATTATATTGGGTTGCAGTGCCTCCAAATTTATTACCACTATGACTGTATATAAAAATATAAAAATATATTTACAGAGACCACGAATTTTTGGTTCAAGTTTTTAGAAGCTTTTACAACAAAAAAAGAAAAAAAAAAGACAAAGAAAAACATACACACACAATTTTTATTACCTATTGTGATCGCGTCGAGCTGGTTGAATGGTCCTCATATTCGTCTTTTCACCAAGCTTGCCAACATTTCCACTCTGTTGTTGTTGTTGTTGTTGCTGTTGTTGTTGCTGCTGCTGCTGTTGTTGCTGCTGCTGCTGATGACCTACCTGAATTCCCTGATCCACAGTTGGACTTTTTCGCGTTAATAAAGATGAAGTTGGTGTTGTTGATCTTGAACCTCCACTAATGAGATCTAATACACCTGTGAAAATGGAGTAAACACATATGCATGATGTATTTTACTACCGCAAATAACAGTTTTAAGATCAAATATTTATTTAAACATATAATATGACATATGAAAATTTTTTAAAATATATTAAACTTCAAGTCTAGCTCTAACTGAAATATGATTAAATATAATATAAATATAAATTAAATATATATTGCATTAAAAACTAATCTTAAAAAACGATTTCTACCTGAAATTTCAACTGTTCTTGCTATTATGTTACTATGTTACTATGTTACTATGTTAATAGTTTGATTCTATTTAAATGAAATTCGAATGCAAACTTAGGGTAAAATTATAAATTATAAATGCAATAGAAAAGTTTTCATGCACAATCTTTTAGTAAAATATAAAGACCATTACAAGCAATGCGTGTATATATGAAATATAAACTATATACAACAAAAGCCAATCACTACAAACATTAAAACCAGAATATTATTATAGAATTATTTTGAATATTTATTACAAACGTTGATTTGTATTAACTTAAAAAAGAAAGCACACATATCAAATAATAATATAAATATTATTATAAAATTGTATGTTGCTGCTAAAATAAATAACAAAATAAATAACATACGTAAATAACTGGTATAGGAAAGCACACTTTGATATGAAAACATAAGTGTTATAATATTCTGAAAACAAATTATGATAAAGCAATATTAAATTTTTTTTGATAAAAATCATATGTTATATATACATATCTTTAAATATCTACAAAAGTATTAATAGCTATAAGATCAAAAGCAATCAAAGCATTTGATATTTGTCTATACAAATTTGCAATACAAAATCCAAGAACAAATTGAATAAATAGTAAAGATATAGTTGAAACCAAAAGCAAGAATTGATAAGCAGTTAAAAGAAGAAAAGAAGTGAAAATAAGCATTTTCAAGTAGTTTACCAGTGCACTGTATATAGCTTGTGAGTAATAAAAAAAGGAAAATTAAATTTTGCAAGTGAAGTTAGCAAGCATTACCAGAGAAGTAGTAAGCATGTCATTGGCAAGGGATAGTTCATAGCAAAAACAGTTTACCATCTTCCAGAGATTGGTCTTTTGGTAATAGGTTGACATTGGCCGTCGGTAGTGAGTTTGGGATAGAGATGGCATTGGGTTCAACAGAGCCCAAGCTCAACTCACTTGGCTGTTTATTTATAGGTCCACGAGGATCTCTAGCAGAAGTTGTCATTCCCATTACAGGTCCCATGGTACCCATTGTCATGCCATAGGGTGTTCCATATTGTCCACCCATTGGACCCATCATTGGATGTGCATAACTAGGTTGTGGCTGGTATGATTGCTGGCTCATAGACGGTTGTACCGTCATCTATAAATAACCAGAATTATTTAGCAATCATTATTATACAATATCTGTTTTATCTGGATTCGATGCAATACCTTAGAAATGATAAAAAATATTTTCAAAAAATGTTAAAACAAAAAAATTGTTTGGTACGACAGGGATATAATATGCCATAAATATCTTCTTCATAGATGAAGTGATTGATAGAAAGAATTCAAGATCAAATTACTTTTTAAAATAGAATGCTATATTTTTTTAAATATAAAAAGGAAATGTATAGGAAGGAAACTACGAATCCAACGAAAAAGTTAAAGTTACCATTTTGCTCAGTAGAAAGTTATAAAATCGTCAACGAGTTAAGTCAACATGTGCCACTCATTTTTAACCATCGACTTCGCATATTACTTTTAGATTTTTCTTCAATACGTCCTCTGTCATTGTAAATGGTATTCCGCAATTATGTAATAAAATTTCTTTCAACATTTTTTAACATATTTATTATTTAGGTATAAGTATTTATAATATACATGTGTAAACCAATAACATCTTTGTTAAGGATTTGAAGTACAATATTCTTTAGGCAGCTTCAAAAGTCAATCATGTATTGATAAGTCAGGTAATCATGAGGGCTATGAAACATGACCACTATGCTCAAGCTAATTATCTTTAAAATGTTGATTTAACTAAAACCATACCAATAGAGTATAATAAAAAAAAATACCGTTGTGTAGAAATGATGAATTACATATCGTCGAATAAACTGGACAAATATGTTTATAAAAATCATAAATAATTTCTTGTAGCTCACATTCTATTGCTTTGATGTATAAATCAAACCATTTATACAAAGGTATTCATTGAAAATAATTAAATTTCATTAGAAAATGAAATGATTTAATTTAGATATTATTTGCTACTGTAGCTATTATATTTACTTTGTGATTATCCAGTTTAATAGAATATTTATTTTCTTATAACACTTCTAGACATTTTAAATAATGAAATTAGTTCTCTAATTATTGGTGGTATTTGTTTTAATTTATTACAAAATATATATATATTGATATAATAAATATCAATCACAGTATTATTTCACACTTTCTTTGTGGCCTTGAAATTCCTTCCCTTTCCTCATTTCAACCATAAGAAAAATAATTTATATCACATCATGTCTGTCTCATACCAAAAAATTTTTGTTTTAACATTTTTTTATATCTTATGACATTTTAGAGATATTTCATAAAGTCCACATAAAACAGACATCTTATATTTGATATTGACTTATATTTTATTTTTAACTTAAATACTATTTATTAAAACTAAATTTGAAAAATTCTAAGATAAAAGTATATAAATTATAATTACCTGTACAATAGCAGGATCATTTGGAATAGAACTGACATTATTAACCACTCTAATATCCTTAATGTCTGAACCACGGAATAAAATATATTCATATACTTGATTTTGCGGTGCCACTGGAAGTTGTGTTTCTCTATCCTCAGTTCCAAACGAACGTACTACATTATAAAAAAAAATAAAATGACACATATTTTAAGAACACATTCATTTATCATGTTTTTGCTATTAATTAGTCTAAAAAAATAAATGCCACAATTTTATAATTTATATAAATACGAATTTTTAAATTATATATAAAATAAGATATATGATTTACATTATCTGATATAATAATGCAAATTAAAATCAAAATTCACATCATAATATTCAAATTTAACGATTTATTAGAACAACACTGTAATATAACTGAAAAAAGAAAGGACGAAAGACATAAACAAGGTAGATACGAAATATAAACATTCCATACAATGGTAGATGTATCTGATGGCTTTCAAACAACCTAACTTCATATAAATAATACCACTTATATTGTCATTGAAAATACTTTGCCCTAATGAAATTTGCTATCTATACTTTGAATTCTAACTGTTTCATTTCCACTTAAAGTTATATTGAGTAACCAAACAGAACATTAAATGAGGAAATATTATAGAGTCAAATATATAGTTATTATGTAAAAGGTTCTATAAAATTTAGGTTCTTAGAACAAATTATTGGCCTTACAAGAAAAAGAAAGTTACAATTGTTTGTTTAAACAATATTACCTGACATTCATTTGTTTTTTCTACTTCTTTGTTTTTAAATAGTTTGCTATAAGCTTGAGAATGATACATAAATATTTAACACATTTATAAAGATTAAAAATATGCTAAACTACCGAATAAATTTCGAAATGTACAATCAAATTACGAATACTATATTAAATACCCGTTATAAATGACGGGTCACCCCGGTTGTTTTGTATCAAAGCTTTACCGGACGAATTAAGTACCGACTGTTTCGAAAGCATTATCAAATACAACAAAAACATAAGAATTGTTAAACTTTCATAAGTAATGCGAAAATGAAACATAAGGAACAGAGATAAGAAAATAATCGACAATTAAAAGTGGCGGGTATTAAAACAAAATAACCGGGAAATAAAGCAGCGGCAAAACTAATTTCGGTATCCATCTTGATTTAAGACTCACCATTAGCTAAGGCAATCGTACATTCTTGAGGATCAACAGTAAAGAGTCGGCCTTCATAACGAATATCTGCTTTCGATATTAAACTAATCTTTGAGCCCAATTCTGGCATTCCTCCGCTCATCTTGAATCTCTCTCTTCTGCACGGTGATCGATGTGATATTACAGGATTCACGATACAATCTGACGAAACCACCAGCTGACACCAATGGTCGACAGCGAACTGCCAAGTCTACCAACAGAAATTGCGCATGCGCCACACCCTCCTTATATTTAGAAATAGCTTAAAAATTTGAAATGTAACAAAATATGTAATAAGTAAAATATTAAACATTAAAGGCAATAACACACAAAAAAGAATATAACAAAATAGGTATAAATCTTAAAAACGTAAATTTTAAATAAAATGAACATTAATTAAACATAATTATTGTAAAATTTAAAAAAGAGTATAATACACTTATTACTGGTTACATGAACAAAAATATTACATAATAAAAGTAGACGTCTGTAAAAAAATTCAATCGTTTAAAAATTGATCTTAGATATTGGTATCCTTGATTAAAGTCGCTTAGTATTAAAAGTTGTGTAAGTACCTTTTACTTTTGGTCTTAGTTTTTAACAGCCGTGTGAATCCATACAAAAATGTATGTAATAGTAGCACAATTTAGAGAATTTAAAAAATCATTATTCTATTACATTTATATATATATATTTTTTCCATAGATATTTAATTGACCAACAGTCTTTGTACATTGTACCTTCAGCCAACATGGCGTCATCGTTGGGTCGAGTTTATAAGTTCGGTCTTTTGAAACCGAATTATGGAGCATTATTCAATCAAGTAAGCAATTTAAGAAATATAATTTATTTTCAGATTCATCAATCTTTCTATTTTTAAAATATGATACATTATTTTGATCTAAATCTTATAATATTAATGTATCAAAACTAATACAGATATCTTAGTATTCCATACAACTTGTCGGCTGCTATGACATTTTTCTTAAAAAATACTATACTGTTGTATTATTTATTAGTTTCTTAATCTTAATTTGATATATTTCATAACAGGATAATAAATTCAACAAGACTTCGAAGACATTTTATTTGATGTTATGTAATAGTTATCAGCATAGAAAATTGTGATGTTCCCATGGCCAAACAGACCAGAATATTATAAGTGGGTAGCTTCGAAAAATTAAATTTATAACTGAAAATATATATAATCTTAAATTATTTCAACAGCTATATATTTGTTATAATGTGTTAAAAACAATAAAAATGTAATTAATGTAAAGTAATATCCAATATCTGATGCCTTTAAATAATTAGATTTATTTAATTACGAAGATAATTTTACCTAGTATTTTGTCAAATTTTCTACATTTAATTCATCTTATTAATGAAACTTAAAATGAAAATATTATATTACAGATTAAAAACTCTGTTTCATATTTGAATTTTAATTTAGCAGGTACACAATTTTTCTACTACAAACCAATGGTCTAGGGGTAGGAAAATGGTATGTGTATTTCTCTAATCAAATGAAGATGGTCCTCCCCATTCCTATTCCCAATATACAATCAATAAATGTTAAAGACATTAAATATATCTATCTATCTATCTATCTATCTATATATGCGTGTGTATATACTGTACAAAGTATTCTTAAAATATTTATATAATGAATATAATTACAGTTAATAGCATATTTAGGAGTAGCAGCTGGAAGTATTAGTGCATTAATCTGGACTTTGGATCAATCTGTAAAAGCTCATGATATAGTAGCACATCCACCAACATATAAATGGGGCTTCTATAAAATATTTACTTCATTGGATCATAGAAGGCAATTAAATACACAATAGAAAATAACAAATACATACTGAATCATATATTCATCTTTTCCTTTTATTTAGCCTTCGGCGTGGTTGGGAAGTGTATAAAAATGTATGTTCAGCCTGCCATAGCTTAGATTTCCTATGTTATCGACATCTTGTGGGTGTTACCCACACTGAAGACGAAGTAAAAGCTTTAGCAGAAGAAGTGCAGGTAAATATTTTCAAATAATTCAAACAGTGTCAGCTATATATAAATATAACATAAAATAAAAGTTAATAACATAATTTTATAGTATTAGTAAAAGTCACATTAAGAAGAAAATTGTATTAATATAGGTTCAAGATGGTCCTGATGAATCAGGAGCCTATTTTATGCGTCCTGGTAAAATATCTGATAAAATACCATCCCCATATCCAAATGAAGAAGCTGCTAGAGCAGCAAATAATGGTGCTTATCCACCAGATTTAACTTATATTATTAATGCAATGCATGATGGAGAGGTAAATTAATTAAATTTAATTACATTAAATTATTAATATTGAAAATAAATATTCTTAAACGCAAATCACACTTTATATTTCAGAACTATGTATTTTCATTATTAACTGGATATTGTGATCCACCAGCTGGTATTACTTTGAGAGAAGGTCAATATTTCAATCCATATTTTGTTGGTGGAGCTCTTGGTATGCCACAAGTAAGTTTAGTATGCTCCAATTATGTGAGAATAATTATTTGAAACATATGTATGTACAATTGATTTTTAAAATAATTTTATAATGTTTAAGATCATTTATGATGAAGTGTTGGAGTATGAAGATGGCACTCCTGCATCTGCTTCTCAGGTAGCAAAAGATGTAGTTGAGTTTCTCATGTGGGCGTCAAATATTGAATTTGATGAAAGGAAAAGGTTAACTATTAAGGTAATATTTTGTACTAATGATACAATAAATATTGTGTACTTTATTTATTTAAAAATTATTTGATGATTACTCGTTTGCAGCTACTTGGTGTTTCTTCAGCATTATTATTATTATGTATTTATTGGAAGAGACACAAGTGGTCAACTATAAAAAATACTAAAATACTTTTCACTCCAACACAAAAGCCAAAGTAACAAACTTTTACATTTAAATCTACATTAGCTCAAGGAAAATGATCCGACGATGTTAGATTCCAATATATTGGAATGTAGTTTTTTACCTTGTTTGATTGTTGCAATATTTGTAAGAACATAATTGCACGCAATTAATAGACGTTTATTTAACACGTCAATTGCCTTGTACATATAACTACAATTAATATCATCGTCAGATTTAAATAAATTGCTAAACTTATTTAATAGTATGATCATTACCTAACCAAAAGTTCCCTAAACAAATAAACATTACAAGGAATAAAAGAAATGATCGTTCCTAAAGAAATTTGTTTATTCTTCTTAAGCTTGATTTTATCGACATGGAGTAATAATCATTTAATATTTTTATTAGTATGAATTGGATTACACTATTACATTACTTATAGTGTAATACTGAAATGCGAAGCTGACGAAGAGGTATGTATAAATTTCAGATAGTTGAGAATTTAATATTACGCGATAAATGTGAACTTGTGTTAAAAATCTCGTACTTTGGTTTGGATTTACTTTAAAAGTAAGGATAGACATTGCTACAATTTGGATAACAAAACTTCAAAAAAGTATATTATTTTGAAATAATTTATGATTATATTTCTTTTTCTAAAATGTAACATAATTATGGAAAACCTTTTCTCCACTCTGTATACAACTTTATGGAAACGGTATAGTTGGTAGTAATTCATACCAAAAATTGCACTAGCATTCAAACCTGATTCCCTAATGGTTGGAAAGCTATTCATGGTAATTGCATGTTTATTAAAAATTAAGTATGATTTTATTAATACATCAATTATAAAGCTTTGATCAAAGAGTAAATAATAAACGTTTACTATATCTGAACTATAATGACCAAAAAACTTAAAATATATTTGTAATGTATAAGTAGTGGAATGGAGAATTAAACATTTATAATCTAATGCTTCATATATTGATGTATCTATTGATGTGAAATACTATACCATTAACCATATGTTACTATAAGTCAAATTATTATTTTGCATATTTCAATTGTAACATAATTTGTTTATCAATTAAGAAACACTTTTATTTATTTTTTTTTTATATATATAGAATAAGAGGCCGTTTTTTGGATGATGTATCAACCAAATACGCTCAATATATGCTCACTTTTATGCTACTTGCACAAAAAGGCACATTATTATGTCAAATATTGATCTCAACAACCTGCTATTTGTTAAAATCTTTGCAACAACTAACAGAAAAAAAGGCTTGGTAAAAATGAGCACACAGAAATATAGATTATTAAAATTTTGAAATGTCTACAATAGTAATTACTGAGACACCTCCACAAATCATGAAATGGCACTTATGCACAAACTGAAAAATTCTTATTCAGGCAATTTTGTTTTATTTAAAAAACTTCAAAGGCATAAGTTATTCTTACTGATTATTACTTTTATTACACAGTCTGTGTTTCCAGTTTTAAGAATCAAAATATGACTTTTGTTTTAGATTGTATTAACTTAAAAAGCTGAAACAGCATTTTCTTAAATTAAATGTGTGTATATGCTTTTTAAAATAAAATATTAAAATTGAAATAATAATTTTACACATATATATACATATTCATACATACACACACACACACACACACACATATATATATATATATATACATATATATGAAATGTGCTCTAAGTTAAGAAACAATAAGTAATAGTAAATGATTTATAAATTTTGTAAGAAAATATTTTAATAAATTGAAAACACTGGATCAACTTTTATAGTAAACATCTCCTTCGTATTTTTTTTTTGGTTTTTTTTTTTTTATACAGGTGTTACTTAGTATATGTCTTTACTCGGCACCCATTTAATATTATTTGGTACCTTCATTGAATCTCGCCCCATGCTACCGCAGAAAGGAAGAGGTGTAGTGTTTACATAGTGGTTAGGCTAAAAAGTGCTACCCTCTGGGGGTTGAGACAATTTCATATTTTCCTTCAATGTCATTAAGCGGCGAAGTTCTTGCAGAACTGTCTTAATTGTGTATTCTCGTTGCCATTTTGCAAGTACTGGTACATTGCGATTATCAACCTATAGAATTTAATATATCAAATATCTAATCTCATATTATTAAAATTAATAAGAAACAAAAGAAGTACTTACTGCACCAGTAGTACTGTTGATACAATTCATATTGATCCTGCTTAAAAATCTTACATTGGGAGCATCATCTGGATATCTCTGATCACAATCAATTTTCAAACTATACATTCTATTTTCATATGGTGTCTAAAAATTGCCATATGCATCATATATAAAGAATTAATTTGATTAACCCATTTGCATCATATGCGCATATATGTGCAGAATTTTTTTGGTCATCACTGAATTATGAATAACCGAATTATAATTTTAATATCTTTATTTTCGATAACTCTAAAGACTTTATCATTTTGTATTACAATTGCAAACTATTCATAAAGATAGAGCATTTCATGTCTTCAAGCAAAAATTAGCAGAAGAAATAATTGAACAAAATAAACCAAAAATAAAGACATCAGAAACACAAGAAATTATACCACGTCTATTATTATCATCAAGATTTACTGGTCAACATTTTCTAATATCCATTGAAACAACTTCATCACAGAAAACTCGTAAACATTGTGCAGTTCGTTTATCACAAAGAAAAGAAAAAAAATTCATTTTATCAGTGTGATAACTGTCGTGTGGCTATATGTATTGACCATTTCAAGTACTATTATACATTTTAAAATATTTCTATTTTTATACAAAAAGAGAGTATTGGTGATATGAGCCAATTTTTCACTTTTTCGAATGATGCAAATGGGTTAATAACATATATACATTTTATCATATTTTCTTATTACTAATAATATTAGTTATATAAATAATTATATAAATTTCAATATAATTAATCCTAATTCATTACTTTTCTTGTAATTTATGTAAGATATGAATTTATTTATATCATAAAAATATAAATTATGTATTTATAAATAATTAAAATAATATATACAATTTAAATTTCAAAGTAATATATTTCAGCAAAATTAAAAATTTAGAAAAAATTACTCTAGGTGGTCCAATTATCATTCCAGTCCAATGTGTAAGAGTCATGTCATCATCGTTTTCCAAACCCCAACTGATTGTACCATCACCTACACCTTTTTGACCTTGTTCTAATTCTTCTAATAAACGAAAGTTTCGAGGCACAACTAAAAACGTAAAATTAAAGTTACCTTCTTCGGAATTACAGGTAAAATATTATTAATTAAAGTTGCTGAACAAGTACAGGTTATGAACTTCTAACAATCGGCATGGTGTAACCTGACTTTTGTTAATGTTTTCCATTGAATACTCGTGTACTGGACATATATAATTTGATATACATGAATAAAATAGACTAATAATGATATTTTCAAAACCTTGACGTATCATTGATTAGTTTTAAACACGTTTACAATGCATGGTAACTTATTGCAATATTATATGTTTGCTCTTATATTGTATCGAGATTTCATTAATGTAATTTTAATAATGAGATTTCATATATAATCTCTTAATTTCAACTTTTTAATTTTATAAAGGTACAAAGCCTACTTGTTGTTTGCATCTTCTGTCCGTAAAATAGATATAAAATACTTACCTACACCGGTAGTGGGTACCGCCATGATATCTTATTTTTGCGAAGCGCTGTATATTTTTCTAAAGAATAGCAAATAACACCAAATAATATATTCCAAGATAAAGCACTTTTAGAATATGCGATTTAACTATAATGCAAATCTTTCATCACCCAAAGCTGAAACGAAGAAAATAATATCTAATATTTAAGTGAAATTCACTTTGCGAAAATTCAGCCAACCTCCGTGAGGTTGTCTGTTTCCACAGACTACTTGCTTTCTAGATGGGATTACTACATCGTAAGTTTCACATCTTGTAATTAGCAGCGTTGTTTCTACAAGTTTTACACTAATTTACGATTTTTTAAACTTGGAAGCATTATGTTTTTATAATCTTCATAATTACAATTGCAAAGCTATAAAATTTAATATTTCAATTTTTTTATGTGAGTATTACTTTCTTTAATAATATAAGTTTTTTGAATTACAGGTATGAAGAGAATACAGTTGAAAAATGTTGTTAATGTTTCCTGTTGTGAAGCATAAAATTTATATGTATAAAATTTGCAATAAAGATTTATTATTAAATTATAGATCAATGGTTATATCCAGATTTCAATTTACATTTAGTTATGTGTATTATCATAAATATTGAATTTTTTATCTAGAGGCAGGGTTCCATCTTTTTTCGATACGGTTATGAACAGCACGACACTGCAGAGAAGGAAAGTTGGTACAAATGGCGTCGGCTTTGTAGAGGGGAGGAAGTCGGTAGTATCGCGCCGGCTGCGCAAGAGCAGCCTGCAAGACAGATTTTCCAATAATGAACAACCCGTGGTAACTGTCAGTCTGCTCGCGGTGCATTCGTTGACTCTTGCTGCGCATAGTGTGTCTCGGCGTGTGTTAAAATGTGCTGTCTGATTAATTGAATATTCCATAGAACGCGGATTACTCGAAGAACGCCGAAAATCCTGCTTTAAGACTGGTATGTGAAAAAAAAGAATTTGAATTTTTCGCGTTAAAGGTTTGTCTTAATAACCGTGTGTGCTGTTTGACATACGTACAGATGTACCTATTGGAGTGCTCACCATAATAAACAAACGAACGCCATTGACCTTTAGATGTACATTATTACTAATATCAGAATATTTGAAAGAATTGTCTCTTGCTCAATTTATTTTTTCTCGAACTTTTATATCAATTCATTTAAATAACTTATCATTTTAAATAGTATACATGTTACTATTGAAATATATTTTTGCGAGAACTGTAAACAAGAGGTATCAAAACAATTATTTTTTACGAAGAGATGTTAATTAACAAGTCATACGATGAAAAACCTTAAATTTTAAGATAATTTATAGTTTTAACATTTCAATTCCACTCATTTCTGCAATATAATATAATTTGGTCTCTTTTTCTAACAATAATTTATTACAGTTCAATTTTTGGTATTATAAGATAACGTATAGGATTATTTTTTTATTTTTATATAAAATAATTCTTATTATTTTCTCATTCTTTTTGTTTACCATAAACATAAATATAAGGTTTGATGACGTTACACTCGAAAGTAAGCAAAAGGAACATCATATTTTGACCCATTGATGCGTACGACAAACAGTACATTCGTTAGTCAACCATTTTATATTTAAAAATGCGAAAGAATACAGAAGCATTTTCAATAGCGTGTTCTCTAAATATTAAAATTTTTTTTATTTGTTATCATTGACTTTATAACATCTTATAAATGGGTATTGCTATCACGTTACAATATGCTCGATCAATTTACGAAAGTTGCTGTAACTGTTAACGAGGATCGAACAAAACGATAATCGCTATCGTCACAGCCATGGTCAAGTTTCGATAGTTTCGCGTCCCACGAACCTATTATTAACTTAGTTACTTTTCTCTCATCCAATCCTGTTTGCTTTCCATTCCGATCGTTGAACATTGTTGTCAATGAGTGATCTCTCAGTGAACCGTGAAAAGGAGAACAGGCAACGACGAGGACGAAAGTAAGATAGCAATAAACGTATCCTTCTCGGTTCGTTACAAGAAACGACCGTTCGTTCACTCGGTTCAGGTGTATACCGTTATAGGTACGATTAACTTCGGCAATATTCGATTCCATCGAGTTCGTCTCGGCACGCAGGAATTACACAGAGGGGAATTGTAGCGAAGCATAGCGCATGCCGTCGCCGTGAACTTTCTTTAATTGTAAATCTGTCGTTGCGTGGCGTCGCCGGCACGCGCGCGCGGCATTGCGCTCGCGAGCTTTCACCGGAGACTCGCACGCGCCCACTTTGCAACGTGGATTGACCGTTATCGTTCACGTTCGATAACATTGTGCTATGAAACGATAATGCTACAAATTCCTGATCAAACATGGTATCCAAATACACGATCCATGGATTTGTATACAAGTTTTTATCGCCATTATAAACCAAACGTTGTTCGAAATATATTATATAGGTTAATGTTTGATTATTTATTTTCTATAGTCAATGGTAAAAATGGCGTCGCGTTGAGAATATAGCTACAGCTTGGAGTTCTTCCTAAGTTTGTATAACGTTTTCATTTAATTATTAGAAACTTTTAACATTTATGTAAAGGAAAGGGAATGTATTATTACACTTCAATGCAATTATTGGATCTCGTTATATAATTCCGCAATTATAAAAATAGATTTAATTCTTATTTCATTTTCACGAATCGAATTATATATTTTGGAATTCTCTCTGCATTTTTATACACTATATAGAGGATGCAAACTGATTATTTTTTTTTTTTAAGAAAATTGCGTCGACTCTACCGTAATTCGATCGAACAATTCAATATTCAACAAATGTATTTCGAGTTTAACTTAAAAGCTTCCGCGAATAATACGTTCTAGCTTTCTCTTTCTGAACAGATCATTGTCTATAGAGAATGGTATGCAGATTTGTTCCGTATCGTATCAAAGGCTGCGTTTCTCGTTATAATTCCGTTGAATGGCAGTTTTTATCGGTTGAGCTTGAACCACATATTCGATAAATATTGAAATAGCAAATTGGAACTAATAGGAGTGAAATGAACGTGCCAGGCGTTATTTTAATGTCGTTAATTTACAATAACAATATCGAATGATTAGAATGAAAATAATTTTGAAAAAAAAAAGGGACAGAAAGGAAAGAATTTGTACGAACATTAAAATAGTTGAACAAAACGACGCGAAGGCATCGCGATCGCTAATAAAAATACGGGAGAGCGAGTATGACGATGCAAGCAGCATTTTCTATCTCGGAATAATCACTGTTTTGCCACTGTTTGCGATTAAGGTCATCGAAGCTATAGTACATTTCTGACAATAGAGGATTTTACGTAGCTTTGCCATCGCTAAAAATTTATCCAAGAATCTATTTTTTTTATTATCTTTTTTTTCTATTTTTATTTCGTTTTGCCAAACGGGATAAAATGTTGGTTCGACATTTTGTTTTACTCTTTTCGAGCAGGATGTCTGTTACGTTGCAAGAATCTGGAAAATGCCATACATTGAGAACTTCAGAGAAGAAACGAAGATTTATATACGATTTTACGCGAAGGAAGAAGAAATTGGGAGAAAAAGGGAGGAGAAAGGAGAGAAATAGGAGAGTTAATATATGAAACGCGGCCGTACCCAAAAACCATTTTGGATACTTAGCGCTCTCCGCCCACTAGCGACATTTAAAAGATACGAAACTACGTGCGTCAAAGCATCTTTAAATACGCTAAGACGAATCTGTGTCGGTGTTCTGGATGGACTTACACCGAAGAACAGCGTTAGAAGCTTAGAACAAAAATACCGCTGTAATGCAACATTATGGCGTCACGTAGCATTGGCTTCGATACACTTTCAACCTTAGAATTGTACCTCGATATAACATAACCTCAAATATAAAGTTGCAAACGGGATGCAAATCCTTATATTTATATTTTTCATTCAACATTTCACAACATTTCGTGTCTTCGTATGGGCGACATAGTATTTTATTTTTGAAAAGACGAGATTGATTTTGAAATTTTTCAGGACGTTTATAAATTTTGAAATTTGTTTCTCGCGCGATCATCGGCAATTTTCATTACACCGACTTTCAGGGAGGAATTAATTCAGGGGAATTTGTAACCCGTGGGTCGGAAGACGAATTTTTCTTGCCTCGCGAGACACGCGATCGTATTAATTAGTTGCGGCCATGTATTTTCATGCGGACGCGCCGCGAGGATTCGAAGGTGGGCTCTTTCAGATTGTCTCGAGCCACTTAAAAGTCTTCCGTTCTCCGAGAGACGACGGCCCTGGAAGTTTTCAAATAAAAAGGACGGCCGGAATAGCCGGGAAGAATTTCTTTATTACGATTTCTCGAAATACCCTCAACGCGTCTCGTCCCATTCGAGCGTGTTTTAAATGCAAAACACCGCTTTTCACGAGCAACGCCATTTAGCGTTGAAACGCGCCCATTAAGGGGGATCTTTTCCTGTCTTTCATTGTCGCGAACGAGCGATTACGCTAACTTTCGGATATCAGGCAAGCATGTACTTTATTTCGTCTTTTCAATCCTCTTTTTGCAATTCTTCTTTTGCTTTTCTCACGTTAGGTATTTTATCATTCGGGAATATATTTGTTGATGAAATTGAAGTCCCTGTTGTAGATCATTTGATTTGAATGTGAATAAAAATTTTCTTTCTAAATTTACTTATTAAATAATTATACTATTTGCTATATATTATAATACGTAATACACGTTTTTGACGCATAATCGTGGCTAAAAAGAATAATCATATTCATTTCCTTATTTCATGAAAAGTATTGTCTTTCGAACATAACCTCACTTTTTGCACGCACGCAATACGAAAAAAGAAAAGATGATATAACGCAATTTTTGACAATATTTTCTAAAATTTGACTTTGAGTCATTCTATTCATTAAATTATTTGGTATAGTAAATAATACGATATAAAATTTATGTTAATACTATCCCTAACACCCCGGGTTATGCTTACATTATATCATTCTACATCTACGAAGTTAATTCTAGATAATTTCCTATTATATTATCTAAATGTTTCGCAAATAATATAGCAAATAATATATTATACAATTTAATTTATGTTAATACTACCCCTAACACCCCGAGTTATACTTACATTATATCGTTCTACATCTACAAAGTTAATTCTAGATAATTTCCTATCATATTATCTAAATGTTTCGTAAATAATATATTATAGCAATACAGTGAATAGCACAATAAAAACTATAAAACAGTATTTACTGTATTACAGAAAATTAGTCAGAAAAGTAGGGTTAGAGTTCAATTCTCGGCGAGAAATAACAATTGCGGAGCCGAAAGTGGCTGCCATTGCTCAAACTTGCGTTCTGCAAATGCAAAATGGCCACCCTGGGTGGTACACGCAGGTGTGGCGTAGGAGTACCGAATTTCTTGCAGAACTTTTGGAGTCAGGCGTCGTATTTCACCGTGGCCCGTTATAAATACAATTTTTGTTGCCCGTTGGCTTATTTATGGCCGTTGCACCGCTAGACGGAACCGCGTGTAAATCTAAGCCACGTAGCACCTCCGGTCGCGGATCGTGCAAACGCTTCCGCTGGATTCGTGCCAGTTATCCGTCGAAAGTCGCGATTTAGAGGGCGGGGACGTGGCCTCGAGTTTTCCTTTCCGCGAACACGGCCCTTTGTGCCCTTGGGGACGTCATCGACTCGGTTACGCCGGCATTCGTAACCCGGAAGTAGGCAATTCCACGTGTTTGCCTGTGCTGCCTGTACCCGCGTTCCCAGATAAGGATACAGACTTTTGATTTAGCTTTCTAGTCCCTCCTTTTGCATCCCTCGTCCTGTTCGTCGACCAAGCTTTTATTGGTCTCGGAAGAAGAGGTGTGGTATTAAAATTCGCGAAATATCTCTTGCGAAATAATTTTAAATAGCGAAGACCTGAAACGAAATTCTGACGATAG